CAAGAGAGGAACTGAAAGAAGATATAAATCCATGGTTTCCCTTTCCTCCACCACTTTAATCAGTACTTTGCTTTTCCCTTCCATCCATTCGGTTCAACAGAAGGTCTCATGAAAGTATCTGCTCCCTGTGTTATCTCCAGAATCAAAATTTTGTTAAGGTTTAACAGGGATTGTACTTGTTCCCACTTTCTGAGGAGATGAATAAAGACCAGTGGCTTGCCATGAGTTTACAGATACCAGATCTTAATAGTATTTCCCCAACTCTGTGTTGCAGAGCCATAGACACTTCCTGCAGAGTCTAAGTGAGAACTGCTGCTTACCTCCTTGTTCTGTATGGGCACTGTGCTGAAATGTCTGAGTTGGAAGCCTTGCTGAAAATCCCTTACATCCAAATAATCCTTTTTCACTGAAATGAATTAACCTAAGTCAATAATCTGGTGCTTACTGGGCTGATGGCCAAACAAGAGAATCCAAATTTCTTTGTCTGAAGTTGGACACAACTGCAGAGCTCCGTATTTGTAAGTTACACCTGGAAGGGGTTTACAGCTAATTCACTCTGAGATTGTCCTACCTAATTTTAGGTGACAATCTCAGACTGTATTAAACAGATGGGGGAAAACAAAAGACAAAAAAAAAAAAAAAAAAAAAAAAGGAGAGAAATTAAAAACAAAAAAAAAGGAGTAATATTCCTCTACTTCTTACCAGAGGCAAAATTCTGAGACACTGTGATATCTTTATATTCTAATTCAATGAGCCAAATGAGCCAACCCTCCAGATAGAAGAATTACTCCCTTTTAATGACTCATGTGGCAATTTTTGCCACTTCTGCTACTACAAACTAACCAGATTTTCGTTTCTCTGTGGGTTTTTATTCTACAAACAATTTAAGAAAACATTCACATGAAGGCACGGTATATATGCTTTGGTTTTTTTCTCTAATCTTTGAAACAATGAATAATAATGCTGGGATTAAAAAGTTTAAAAGCTTTACATTTAATTGCACCCAGTATCTGACTTCAATGGGATCTCAGTCCATTCCATGTACCAAGAGGTATTTAAAATCCAGTATTTATAGATTTTTTTTTCCATAGGAAAAAAACCAATATTGTTTAAATCTCCTAAATAAAGATATTTATGCATTTTGCAACATAGTAACAAGTAGATGCACCTTTTTAAAAGCTTATGAGCTATCAAAAACCTATTAACTTTAGGCAAAATCTTGCTCACCTAAAAGGAATTTGTATAACAAGATTTTTATAATTTTTAAGTCTCCCTAGTCTTGCACCTGAGCTTACAGGCTTCCCAAACAACCTAGGCTGGCAGACTTAAAATTCTTGTAATTTTTACAGCACCACACAGAAGAATTGGTTTTGATGATTTGAGGCATACTTTTGCTAAATACGTTCATGGAGAAATGATCCCACTGAAGTTGACAATCTGATTACCTAGTTTCAAAACAACATAAATTGAAATGGCTGCACTAACACACAAAGCCTCTATTACAGAGATTTATAAAGGAAAAGCTGAGTGAACTTTAATTACAGCAGCATTTCCCATGCCACTGTGTTACTGACAGGTCTATTGCTTCTTGCTCCAAGCTAGGATCATAGTTTTACTCAAAAGCTTTCTGTTTCAGAACCTGTGGCATAAGCTTTCTATGACAAAGTGCCTAGAATTGCATTGTCTAAATCAGCATAAGCCAGTGTTTTTAAAAAGGAAAATCTCACACCTTGCAGAAGCCCTAATCTCTTCTAGAGTAAGCCAAGTCCCGCAATGGCAAAAGGATATGAGATACTGGGAGTGGGAGCCATAAAACAGCTGGATGAGATTAGTAGCATTGAAAAAAACATCAAAGCAACATCAGCTGACACTCAAATCTCAGGAAATTCAAGTGTTATGATTATTTCTTCACCTTGCACATAGCCTACTTCCAAAGGCAATTGAGATAAAATAAATGAGACAATTAAGATAAAGATCTGGCCTAAGTAAATACCCTGAGTACCATTTCTAGGTGCTGCCAAACACCCTTTCTCCATTAGAGGCATGGCAGCTTTGCTGATTCAGACCAGCTGAGGGTCTGGCCTAATAGTCAACATGTTGCTGTAGTCATTAAGGGGCCGAGGTAGAAGGTGCAGAACAAGCCACAGGTTCCAAAAGCGTGATTCTGTCTTTCACTCATCTCAGAGGTAGTTGCAGGGGGAGGCAAATGAAATTTGTGAATGTTTCAAAAGGGAAAATAAAACTTTAAGAGCATCTAGTGCCTAATACTGCTAAGGATGAAACAACAAGCTTTCTGTTCTTGGGTTTTTGCTGATTATCACCATAAAGAGTCATTAAAGGCTATGGTTTTCAGGTAAAGCTGACACAAATTTGTCACTTGGAATGCTTGAAGTGAAATTAAAACTTTATAGACCTCTATGCACAAGGAACTCACAATTCATGGATTTCTTCAGACTCCGCTACAGCCATTATGAGACCACAGCTTGGTGGGGCTGCATGACACAGGAACAGAGGAAAGCAAATCAGGAAATCATTTCACCTTCCTGACTCAATTCCACCTGCAGTCTGTGCACACATAAATTCTGCTGTCAGACAGCTTTAACTCCAGCCATTCCCTGGAGGTCATGAAGGATTTTCATACCTTGAGGACAGCCATACATGCAAACACAACCCTTACCTGTCTCTGCACGTCTCTCTGCCAGGGAGCTTCTGCCAAAGAAAGACATTTTCCCAGCAGAGATGATCCCTCTCTGGGCTCCAGGATGGAGCTGCAAAATAAAATCCTTGTCTTCAACCATGCATTATGCAGATTTCTTCATCAATGCAACAAAAGAAAGCTCTGTATGCAGAAACTAAGGTAATGCTGAAACTATCTGTGGATAATGTGCAAGTACACATTCTATGTCCATCTGAACTGTTATAAATCCCAATGATATTTTTTGTGATATGTTAACAAGCAAGCAGTGCATAACCAGTTGTGAGTAACACACAATATGTGATTTCCTCTGTCACTGATTTGTAAGAGTGTTTATTTAGCTGTTGCTTGTCCTTTCAGTGATCTAAACCTCCAGAAGGTAAAAATACATGCTGGCCTCAGAAACTGAAAATATTCTCATTAGCCATCCAGATGTTTGTACCTCATACCCCAGAAGCACATTTGCAACAAATGGTGTATTAAAGTAACACAACTTTACTTCACCCTGGGTCTCATTTTTTGAGTTGCTGTAACAAGCTTGTCTGGGTCAACTTATTTACTGTAAAGTTGTCACATTTGCACCAAACTTCTTCACCTTAAACCTTCAAACTCATTCCTTCAAACAAGTACCTTCTCCTTGGAATTCATATGAGCAATAAAGCCTCCTTCAAAAGCATCACTTGGAGGTCCAACAAATGAAAAAATTCTTAGCTGAAGACTCCATCAAAGGCCACAGCTTTTCCTTGGACCAGAGCTCTCTCACATCTGTATTAACACCAGGATAGACTGGGTAAAAATCAGTCTATTATAGAAATTTATAAAGGAAAATTGGAGGGCTCTGACTGTATATCAACTCAAGCCTTGTAATAATCACATTCTGAGACTCCTGACAAGTTATGTGCAGGTTCAGAAGCCCAGGGAGAACAGATACTTGAATAATTCTTCTGCTTTATCTTATCTATCAAGTTCAAGAAGAGGATTTCCCTTTCTACCAATGCTTGTTGCCTCATCTTGCATTCAGAAATCAAAAGATTTCTGAATGCTATGGAGGAGTAACATATTCATGAACATATAAGCTGTACATTTGTAAATATGATAAATTACCAGAACTAGGCGATCCAAGTAAGGAAGAGAACTTCCCAGTTTTTCTCCTGATCTCTGTTTTCACCACAAACAGAAATGTCTTGCATGGACCATGCCAACTTTCCTCACATCCCAAAAGGAAACCCCTCCTTGACAGCAGATATGATCTGAATAAATCACTGATGTGTTCTGGATGGGTGGAGTTTGGGGCAAGATGGGATGAGAGCTGATAAGGGTACTGCCAGCCCACAGAAGTCTCTCCCTGGTGCCTTTGCAAAAGAGCAAAGGCCATGAAGAACAGCACTGTAAAGAAGTCAGCTGAGAGCTGAATTTTAAAAGCCTTGCTGCCCAGGCCTGAATTTCAAAAAGTACTAGTCAAAGTCACATTTAGCATTTCCAGTATCAGGATATTTTGGCATCCCTTGACCTCTTCATCAGAGCTTCTGGACATCTATTGCCTGCTCCTCCTCCCTTCTCCACAGCCTGTTACTTCTGTTACAGCCCGTAACTCCTCTGTTGCTTCCAGCTCTATCCTTGTCCGCTCTTTTGTTTTGCCTCACGTTATGAATTCTAATCTTATTTAGGGAAACTCAAAGCCTACAAAACACTGCCAGGTTTACTCTGCTTCCAGCATCCATATGCAATGTGCCAGGAAAATCCTCGGCATAAGCCAAACCAATAAAATATTTGATAATATCCTTTCAGGACTGCCTAAACACGATATTTAGAAAACTCTTTAAGGATTGTGGTGGGGGTTTTTAAGTTCTCTATCTGTGGAGCCCAGGCTTTGCTACTACATAGAGTAAAGCTGTTGTTGCTCTGCTGCAGCATCCCTGTCACTCAGACAGCTCCTAACCCCGCACCTCTCCCACATCACACAGCGATGCCCATCACCCGCGTTCTGCCGCTGCGCCTGGGCTGCCCCAGCCCTGGGGCTGAGCCGGGATGGGAGCGGAGCGCCAGGGCCCTGCACAGAGCCGGGACCGTCACCGCGAGGCTGTGTGTGTGTCACAGCAAGTGTGTGTGTGTGTGTGTGTCACAGCAAGTGTGTGTGTGTGTGTGTCACAGCGAGTGTGTGTGTGTGTGCCACAGCGAGTGTGTGTGTGTGTGTGTGTGTGTGTGTGTCACAGCAAGTGTGTGTGCCACAGCAAGTGTGTGTGTGTGCCACAGCAAGTGTGTGTGTGTGCCACAGCAAGTGTGTATGCGTGCATGTGTGTGCGTGCGTGTCCCCCAAGGCGAGCAGCCTCTCCCGCCGGGCTGCCGTGACTCCATGCCCACAGTGCCACCTGCTGGAACCGCTCCTTCCCGTCCTTCCCGAGGGCTGCGGGAAGGGTCGGCCGGGCCCACCCCGGCTCCGCTCCCAGGCGGGGAATCGGCCATGGGCTCCAACCATCGCTACTGCTGACAGCGGAGCGCCTGAGCGGGGCTGGCACGGCAGAGGGAACCCCAAACCCTCTGCCATCCCAAACCATGTCCTACCCACTGGGCTTCTCCACACAGAGGCCTGAAAACACAGCCTGCTCTTGCAGTGCCGAGATGTCTGCACAAGCTGGCATCATCTTTTGATCATTTCATTGAGAACACTCAGCTCCTGAGCAGAGTGCGAGAGTCACGGCGCTTCTAACAGAGTTAAATCCTTCCAAGTTTTCCCGACCATGGATTTCTTCCCCCTGCTTCTTCCAAGCAGAGTATTAAAATCCTCCAAATCTTAATTGACCAACTTGAGAATCCTCCTAGAGAATATCAAACACATTTGACAGCTTGGAACTGCTTTTCAGTTACAAGCTTTTAATTATACTAATTCCACTTAGCAGTTCTACCTCCATGGCTTTTTTCTTTTTTTTCTTTTCCTGCTGCTGTTAACTGAAATATTATTCTGTAAAGCTGAAGTTCATCACAGGATTGACGAGCAACTACTTTGGCATTGTGGGTCAAGCCTTTCCAGGTAACCTTTCCATATGCTGAGGGTAAGAGCACAAGGGAGAGGCACTGATTGTCCTGGGGATGAGGACACACAGTTCATTTTAGGGTATGTGGGAGTGTGGAGACTCTAGGAGGAGGATTGCTAAGCCAGGATTTTTATTTTTTTTTTTTAACAGCAGCATATAAGAGGAAAGAGAAACTGGCAGCAAACAACAAAATTCAGAGGGAGAACAGAGAAGTCCACAGCTCATTTTGCAGAACTCAGAGGCTGGGTATCCTGAAGCTTCCAGAAGTGGCAGGAGGACAGAGAGAAGGAAAGAAGGTGCAGGAGGAAAAGGCATCACAGAAACTGGAAAGGGAAGAAAGTTTTTTTTTACAATTCCTTGTAAGAAAAGCAGTAGCAGGCATTGCATACCTTTCTGTATCCAAAACTTGCAGAACCACAACAACCTTTTTCCCTTAAAACTGAATGGGAAATAGGAAAGCCAGGAGGAGCTGACTCATGAATTATTGAAATCCAAGTTACTTACTTAATTTTTAAACTTTAGTTACCCAGTTACAAAGTCTTGACCCTTCCATTGCCACAATCATATTTATAAAGTGCTTTATCCTATTTTGGAAGCCTGGAGACTTCAAATAAATCATGACCTAACAAGAAAAGGCCTCTCTGGAGGAGGCTGTCACCAATATTGTACAATATTGTACATGGGCAGGGGGACGATTCAGAATGGGAGTTGCCAAAGGTGACCGCAGATTTTTTGCCCCCAAAAGACCCAAAAAGTGAGTTAAATGGCTGAAATTGTATAAGAAGGCTTATACAACTTGAAAACAACTCGGTTATCATGCTCTTGAGTACAGACACATGGCACAGCTATTCAGTTCAAAGACAAGCAGGGAAGAAAACAAAACAATCCAAACCCAGATAGGGCAGCTGTCTAGATATTTCCATCAACAGGCCAGGTTTTCTGCTTTCATTTCAACAAAGAAATGTCTCATTCGTGGAGGATCTGGCCAAAGTTTTCAGACTGTGTGAAATACTAACAAACTTCTATTCATGTGAATAGGGAAAGTAAGAGGGTTTTATTAAATTGTAAATCTGCTGCTAATTCATCAGTCTAGTCTGCCAGTGCCCATTATAAAACCCCACATGTTTTGAGGATAAAAATTAAATGTTTTGACTTTGATGAGACTATTCATGTGTCTGAACATGTGTTTATGGTCTTTTCTGGCTGGCGGCATAACTGCAAATCCTTTATTCTTTAGTGCTGTTGGAATAGGAAATAAGCAATAAGAACAGTTTTCACTTCTCTCTAAGAAATTTTAATATTTGGCTTTTAGCAGGTATTTCCCTGTGTTTCTTAGGAAACATTAAAATCTAGTGAACCCACAAACTTCTTGGGGGTCTTTTTTATGGTACTTAAAATCTGATCCACAGTAATACAGATCAAAAACATGGGATTTCTGTTTGGCAGAATTGGTCAGAGTCGATGTTTATATGCTTACTGTAGATCTGGGGAGAAGCTCTGCATATCTGGGGGAAAAAAAAGGAATCTGAAATATATCTGCCATAGTATATATACTGCCACTACACAAGAAGATTTAGTTTTATGTTGGAGTTATCCAGCACAAACCCTTCTGAATTAATGAAGCAAACTGAGCTATTTCTACTCAGGTGATCTAACACAAAGTTAAATATTTGTTTTGCTGTTAATCATGGAAAAAGTTTGTGGGTTGGTTTGTTTGGGTTTGGTTTGTAGGTTTTTTTCCCAAAATTAAGAAAAAAAGTGTAAATTATAAAAATAAATTCATCACAGTTACCTGTTGAAAATTCAGGATTATGCAGGGAATTTTTCAACCACATCTGACCAACCCATATTTATGTGGGTTTCACCGCTAAATGCACCTCAGCTGCTGGCACTCCTACCAGATGAAAACATTTTAAAGACTTGATAATGTTTCTTTCTTTGCTTCCACAACTCAGCCTTACAGAGAAAACTTCAATATGGAGAATATTCTCCAAAAATGCAGCCAGTTAATTCTGCATTTTTGCCTTTTGAAGGAAAAAACCAAGCCTCTTCAGCACTATTAGGAAGTAAATATACCAGAAAAATTTACAAGGCTACCCAGGAAATCACCTGTGAAGGTCAAATATTTTAAACCTCTGGCATGCCATAAAAAATATTTCCCATCCAAATAGCACATTTATATAATATTTACATGTATATTATGACCAATTCATATGGCACAATTCCAGTTACACTGAGACTGACAGGAACTTTCATGGCTTAATGAGAACAAGATTTTCCTTCTAGATTTTAGATGTAGGAGGGCCCCATTAAAACGATCTGGTTGAGGTGCTTAGTACCAACAGCCACAGAAACTCATCCACTAGTTTCCATATTGAGTCAAAATAATTCACAGATGTATCAGCACATGTCTGTAAAAAAGTATCCATTCATTTAATCTATTAATTTTATCCCTGGGTAAGTTGATGTTTATATGGATACTACTGAAGAGCATTCTCATTTTGTTCAAATCTTGAATCCTTGGTTCAGACCTTGAATCCTTAGTTCAAAGTTCCTTATGATATCAAAATTTTAAATTCTTAATAATTACTCAGAAAAAATGTGTCCCATTTTCTATTTTTTTTTCTTGACAGTTATAGGTATTGAGTTTATTTTCCAGAACATACATGATCTGATTGTGAACATCCCTTTCAATTATTTAAAAAACATTCCACATGAATAGGAATTCATATTGTTCCCTAAAAAATGAGGTGTGCCTTACTGTCTTCTAATTTCTGAAAATAGGAGATTGTGGGCCCCTCTTTGAATCATTGTTTGATCAATATTTTCAATATATTGAAAATAACTTTTAATAACATTTTTTTAATTCTCTGTATAGCCAGAAATCATTTTAAAAACTGTGAACAATGGTTGAAATGTGAGTGATTTTGTTTCCAAGCCAGAATAACCAGGGTACAAATATTTCTATAAAACAATACACTGATCTCACTGACAACTTTTACTAGCACTCTAAGAAGGATCACTTTTAAATAGCAAATCTTCAACATCAACTTAGAGGATATCACCTAAAAAAAAAAAAAAAAAAAATAAAAAAACATCTCTGAAATAGCACAGAATATGAGCAAACTATTACAGAAACTCAAATTGCTTGTCATTAAGAAGAGGGTGGAAAGCCATCTTTATGATAAAGCACTACCCTGTAAAAGTATTAACCAGTCATTTAGTCCACCTGACAGCTCTAATGCTTCAAGAGCTTCAAAGATTTCTCAACTAGAAATGTAGTAGTGCCAAAAATACATCAAATGGGCCTTTAAAAAGTCATTCTATGCCTTCTATTATGCTAACACTGCAACTTTTAATCACTGGCTTTATCTCCAAGAGTTTATGAAATGAGTGAATTCTTTTTGACCCTTTTCATAATCCGTACAGCATAAACTCATCCTATTGTCTACCCAGTAAGGCAGACAAGTTATAAGGGATATTATCTAGTTAGTCTGCAACATTATTAACTCATCTGGAAACCACTTGACAGGAAATCACACAGAAGAAGGTAATTATTCCTCTTTTTTAATACTCTGCAGCTATTTGAGTGCTGTTGTCATTCCTTCATGCTTCAGACCAGGTCAGACTCTCTCCTAGGCACCCCCTGGCCCTGTCCTCTTGTGAGAAATAACACAAGTAACACAAAGAACTATCTCCTCACTGCCTGGTACATTCACAAGCTCCAATACCCACTCTAATTTGGAATTACCTGGTAATCAGACAATGTGGGAAATGGACAGAAGACCCACACAGTATGCATCTGCATGCAAACTTTGAGATAAGAAATGCTGACTTAGAAATGCCATAAAATAGGACAGATATTGTTGAGAGAGAAACAGAGCTAAAAAAAAGTTTCAAAAGATGGCCTTGCAAATAAGACTAGATACTTCAAAAAAAAATAAAACTATAAAAGATAAATTGTAGTAAAACCCACAAAAAATAGTTTTAGATGATTGGCTTTAAAACAGCTACAATATAGTGCGACAAAAAACTAATAAACCAAGAAACGCTTATAATGTTTTGTAATTAAGAAATAGTTAATTCTGATTGCGATCTTGTAAATTATAACATCTATATTATCTCACCCTTCTCATAAGACTAAAAATAGAATAAAAATTTTTAAACCACCTCTCAATTATCCCATCTCTAAGTCAAAAAAAATAAAAAAGTATTATCCAACAAGACCCCTCTATAGAATCAGCGCCTCAAGGCCTAGCAGCAATTAATATGATGCCAGACTGGTGGCGATTCCTTTCCTGATGCCATGCAGGAAAGCACCTTCTTCCAAACCATACACCATAAAACTTTGGAAATTCAGTAATTCTCTTTCTTCTCTGCTCATACCCACCTGCAAGCAGATGCTGGTTTTCCTGGTCAGAGCACATGGAGAAACAGAGAACACTCTCTCAGGTACACAGAGTTATCCCTGGGGTTGTCCTGTGCAATGTCAGGAGCTGGGCTTTGATGATCCTTGTGTGTCCTTTCCACAAAAATGTAAACCAAAATCAAACCCAGCATTATCTATGAACACCTCTTTTTTTTGGCTAAATCACAACTTGGGAATATTATCGCTTTGTAGGGCTAAGCCCTGTTTAATGTGACCATGCCCAAATATGAACCAGTCCATCAGCTGTTTAATTAGCAGTAGAACAGGCATACCAAATTAAATGCTAGAAAGCACTCCCAACAATGCAAGGCCTAGTTGTTCACTTTGTGTCACATTGCTACTCTTAACCCAGAAATTCCTCCTTTCCTTTATAAACTGCTCTCTCCATTAATTACTTTGGCAAAGTGTAGAGGAATCAACAAATCATGGTGAGCAGAGTGGCAGGCAATCCTGCTCCTGAAGCTGGATATTTCATCATCCCAATTCTTTCCTGAGAGCTGCTGATTTTAATCTGTATTTTACAGGGTAGCAGGCTGCTCTTCCATCTCTGCCAGGGGAGTATGGAGGCAAGTTTGAGGTGGATTTATGAAGAAACAATAATCCTCGAATCACTTGCAATTCCATCACCCTTCAGCCAGAAAATTCTCATTCTATTTAGCATGTGTTTGAAGGGCCCTGGTGGGATGGAAGTGGTGCAGACACAGACAACTGCTGCCACATACACAGGGTGTTAACTTCAGCTTGTAAATTATGACACAGAAAGTACTTGTAACAGCACAAGACATCTCTGAATCATGCAGGGAACTGTTCTGAAGCCTCCCTCTGCTTAGTTATTTCTCTTCCCTTCCTCTCAGAAGGCTCTCATTCCCTGTAGACTCTATACAATTTTTTCCCCACAGATTTATGTCATATTATATGCAGACATTGTTGAAGCCTGCAGAAGGAACTAAACACACTCCAGCAATGCTATTCCAGAAGATGTTAAATTGAAACTACTTATAAAGCAGTTTATAAAATCAAGCTAAGCTCAGCAATAAATATTACTATCAACATCTTTCCATTTTTTCCCCTCTGACACATCAACTCTGTCTCCTGAAGTGGTCTCTGATTCAAATAGGATCTCCAGATCATGGTACTGCTAACATACTACAGTCCAAA